TTAAGCGAAACATGAACGAAAGAGTAATGCTAGAGACCTCAAAAATTTTATCAAAGTTTTATCAAATGTTTCACATGGGTGTGGGACCCACACAAGTAGGTCCCATGTGGGCCCCACATCACATGAGACATTTAATAAAACTTTTAATAGAATTTTTAAGGACTCTAATATTTTTTGAACGAAACCCTATTTGGTTCGCTTGGTTGGACCCTGGAGTTATACTCTAATCAAAAGCATGAGGATAACTTTGAACCGGTTTTTAGTTTCTTCGTACCTTTATACTTTATATTTTTTGATATTTTATTTTGGCTAAATTATAAATACACTTTTTGAAATTTGCTTAAAATATAAATTATTGCTTGTGATTTGAAAAATTACAAATATCTCCTTATCAAAAAAATTTATTTAACATAGTTAATTAAAAAAATGAAATTTCTAATTATTCACCTATACAATAATAAAATTATTTGAATTATTAATTAAAATAAAATTTTAACATTATTAAAAACTATTAATTAACTTGATTGTTTATTAATAAAAGAGCTTATTTGTTATGAAATTAGAAACCTTAAGGGGCATAATATAATTTCTAAAATCACGGGAATAATTTATAATTTAAGTAAATCTCAGGGAGTATGTTTGTAATTTACCCTTTTATTTTTTATGCTCTATTCTACTTTTATATTGACAAACTAAGTCGGCCATTTCATAATTCTAATAATTTATATGTGCTATGTAAAAAAATTAATTTTATCAGATATCACTATATATATATCAATAAATTGCATTTTATTTTTTAAAATAAATAGTAATTATAAGTTTAAACTTAAACCTTTTTATAAAACAAAAAATTTGTTTATATATTCATCGATATCAAATAACGTTAATTTTTTACGCAGGCGGTTATTATTGTGTGATTTTAATATAAATTGTTTAAATTATCATTGTGAGCCTAAAATATAACTCAAAAAATGAAATATACAAAAATATAAAAGATAAGAGTATGGACGGAAGCGATACTTAAGTTTTTAGCCCATCCGTAACCCCATAAATTTTTTACTTATTCTTTAATTTCTCCAAATCCTAAACCTCGATGACTAAAATGCAATAATGTAATATTGAGGGTTGTCCAAAATGTTTTTTTTTTTTTTTTTTCGGAGGAAAATATAAAGAAACAAAGCAAGAGACCAAAAAAATCAATAAGAAACTAATATGTGCCAAACAAGTCACAAGCCCAAGCGACGGTTTAGACGAATCAGGATTCCTTCTTGAGTTTCCTCCTTGACTTCATACTTGTTAGGTTATTGGCTTCACTTTTAGGCTCAATTTCGATAATCTGAACTATTCACATTTTAAGATTTGTTTAGTATATCATACTTGTAAAAAATCAAGTTGATCGGATATCAGGAAACATATGTTCGGAAAACTGTTCGGATTATCCGATCAACTTGATTTTTTCCAGGTATAATATACTTAACAAATCTTAAAATAGGAACGGTTCAAATTATCGAAATTTGACCTAAAAATGGGCCCAATAATCTAACAAATAGGAAGCCAAGTATAAAATTCAAGGAGGGGATCTGATTCGGTTTAGACACCCAATCCAGTAGGAGGAGATTCGGAAATGAGATTGTGCCACCTAATGTGCTGCTTTGTTTGTTGTTCTGGGATTGTCTTGGATGATTGACAGGTATGTTTCCTGCACAATTGTTTGAATTTCATTAAGTAATTTTGTTTGGGAGCTGCTTGTCTCCCGTACTTTATCAGATTAGATGGTATTATTCAGCTTGTGGGAGCTTATCATAGGTTTTGTTTTGTTAATCTGAACCGTTGAACATATAGAATTCGTCGAGTAATATATGCTTGTAAAAAATTACGTTGATCGGATATCGATAGTTATGTGATTAAATCAGTTTTGTATAAAAAAATAGATGGTGAACAAATTAATGGTTGATAAAAAACTGATAAGATGAGATAGCTATCGATATCCGATCAACGTAATTTTTTACAAGCATATATTACTCGACGAGTTGTACACATTAACGGTTCGAATTATCAAAACAGGACCTGTTGCGAATCCCCATGGCCGAACAATACCATACAATCTGATTAAGTACGAAAGGCAAGCTGCTTCTTTTTTTTTAATAGGTGTAATTTGCCCGAACTAAATTTAAAATTTATTAATTAATGTAAATTTTTTTAAAATATACTAATTGTATGTAATTTATCTAAGGGACTTTTGGAATGACTTAAAAAAAGTATTAATTTTTTTTTACATATACTTTTTAGAAAAAATAAAAATAAAATACTTATTTAAATTATTCTCAACTCCCTGGAAACCTTCACAATGTGCCGGCCTGGGCCAAAAAATTGAAGGCCCAATTCCAAGCCATGTGCTTTCAACGATCAACAAGTCATACAGTCGGGTTGACTTATGTCAGATTCCTAAGGCTTCAACCTTACTGATCGATCTAGTTGTCATTTGGTGAAAAAAAAAATTTAGGTGGTTTTTTTTATTTGGATTTTTAAATTTGAGTTAAAAAAATTTGTTTGAAATTTTTTTTAAAAAATAATTATGATTTAAATATAATCTTTTATTTTATTAATTTTTTAACATATTTTATCTTTTAACTGTTAATTTTGTCCTAACCCAACTCACGTGACCAAATGAAACCTTAAAAATATGGACTTATGAATTGGCATATAAAATTTTAAGAGCAGTGTTATAAATTCACAATTTGAATGTTTAGTTTGATCTATGATCACGTGACAAAAAAAATAGGCCTTACACAACTAAATAGTAGCAAATTAATAGTTGATTTACACAACTAAGTAGTAACAAATTAATAGCCGACATTTATCTTGTCACATCGTCGTGGATTGGGAGATTTTGTGTGGGTCTAAAACATTTTCTAAAATTATAATTGTCCTCAAAATCAACAATTTGTTATTAATTCTATCTATTAAAAAAAATTGTTATTAATTATTGGGGGAAAAAACAATTATAATACAAAATTTTAAAATACATCTGAATAATAAAAATTATATATTGAATTATAAAAAATAAAAATAAAACTTTATTTACTGAAAATTCAAACTATATAAACACACACATCCATTTATGTTATTAAATTGTGTGCATCCATCTTTAATTTTGTGACAATATGATTATCTGATGGGTCGTTGCACACATCAAAATTAAACACAAAATTACACCAAATTCTTTTAGAAAAATGACAAGTCCAGGTATCGATCACAGGAACAATTGTGAAATTAAACTAATTTAATTATTAAATTCTTAAATTAATTTTGATGAAAAGATTGATTGTTCATAACCTAATTTAATAACAAATAAATTAAACTAAGTAATTAAATTATCAATTATAAATAAAATTGGATTTACTGATTTTGGAAAAAACCTAGGGTAAAGAGTCCATCACTAGTTACGTAAATAGGGTTTCCAATTGAAATTAATTATGTTATGGTTCGAACGGGATAATGCTTTGCAACTACAAGTTCAAAGCATTTAACAAGAAAATCATCACATTCAATGTAACGAGCAACGAACCATCTCAAGTAAGTACGAATCGTTCACTCTAAACTAGGGTAGTGACACGACTCGGTCTCATATCTTGAATATGAAAACATAGAAAACTCTTGTATGGAAAACATTCAACAATCACAGAAAGCCGAATACTTGAAGAAAAAATAAGATATATATATATATATATATATATAACACCATATAATTGTTCAAACCTTTACATAATTGAAAATCAAAAAGAAAAACTAATTACATTGCTAGGGTTTCATCAAAACCCTATAAAAGAAGACTAGCCACTCATGAAGGAGTGGGAAGAGGAAGAAAACTCCATGGAAATGTCCTTCAAACTTTTTAGAGAAAATCACCTCTTGGAACCCTAGCCTCTCTTTCCTTGCAAAAACAATTTCAGAACTCTAATCCAGCCATTTTCTTGCCTATTTATACTTCTGATGTCTTGCAAACAGGTTTAAAACATCGGGCCCGTTTTCCTAAAAAGTCAACGCATGTGTGGACAAAGTCAATGCACGTGCGAGAATCTGTTTTCTCTCTAAATTCTGTCTTTTTGCCCATTTTATGCTTTGATTATGTACAACTCGATTGACATTAAACACACATAAAATATACAATTTGACAAGTAAGTAAAGTTAAGAGATCCTAATTAACGGCCTCAATGTTGCACAATTTGGCCTTAATCATTATCACTTGTTTTTAAAAATTTAATATTGTTGTCTTACTAAAAAAGCATATATATGCAAAAAGATTTGAAAAAACAAAAATGCTAGAGGCCACAAAAATTTTATCAAAAATTTTACCAAATGTCTCATTGGGTGTGGGATCCACATGAGACCCACATTGTGTGGGCCCCACACCCATGTGAAACATTTGGTAGAATATTTGGGATTTCTAACATTACTCTTAAAAAAAAAAAGAAGGAGAGATAGAGAGAAATCAAGAGAGAAAATTACAAAAAGAACTCCACAAATTGAATCTCATAACAAATAAATATTAAATTTTAAAATTTAAATTTAAACGATATTTTTTATTATATATTTTTAGTTTAAACCAATCATTTATTTTCATTAAGTAAAATTGATGAAAAAATATTTCAATCTTTATAGATTTTTTTGTATACCAATATTAAGTTTGATGACTAAAATACTATTTTTTCATTAGTCTTACTTAACGAAAAAAAAAGGCAAATAATTTAGATTGAAATAAATTAAAAAATTATAGTTTAAATTGATAAATTAAAATCTCATACTTATTTTGTTATAAGAATTGAGAAATTTTTATAATTTTTTCAAGAAAAATAATATCAATTATTTAACTTTTTCAGACATAGGAATCACACTTGGGGCCTAGGCCCAACCCATATATTTAAGATTACATGACCCAGTCCAGCCTGGACCAGCCCATGGATTATGAGCTGAAATTTACCCCAAAAAATGAATAAAAGATTATCAACAACCAAACAGAGCGCATTGAGGTCCTTCACTTCTAAAAGCTCTCTCTCATGTTTTCGCTCTAAATCAATGGCTTATTCTTGTCTCCCCTCACTGTTTTCAGTGAAATCAGTCTCATGGGACACCCATCAGAGACTTCCTTACAACCCACATCGCACCCCCACACCCAAGAAACCCAACAAAACCCCCAACACTCACACTCTAACCACCACATCTACTACTAGCTCCATCGTAGAGTCCTCAATTTCAACCCTTCTCAGCCGCAACAGTCAAACCCCTTTTCAAGGTAGTGTTGTTGTATGCGCTTATATGTGTGTTGTTTGTCATTGTGTAACTGGGTTTTTGTTTGATTGCAGCGAAATTGGAGGAAACTTATCTGGGTTGCGATAGATAGTGTTGTTTTATGTGCTTATATGTGTGTTGTTTGTCATTGTGTAACTGGGTTTTTGTTTGGTTGCAGAGAAATTGGAGGAAACTTATCTGGGTTAGAAGTGATAGTGTTGTTGTTGTATGTGTGTATATGTGTGTCGTTTGTCATGGTTTAACTGGGTTTTTGTTTGGTTGCAGAGAAATTGAAGGAAACTTATCTGGGTTAGGAGAGATAGTGTTGTTGTATGTGTTTATATGTGTGTTGTTTGTCATGGTTTAACTGGGTTTTTGCTTGGTTGCAGAGAAATTGAAGGAAACTTATCTGGGTTAGGAGAGATAGTGTTGTTGTATGTGTTTATATGTGTGTTGTTTGTCATTGTTTAACTGGGTTTTTGTTTGGTTGCAGAGAAATTGGAGGAAACTTATTTGGGTTATGAGAGATGGTTGCCGAGTCCTCCGAAAGTGGAGAAGCCTCGCTCGATATACAATGCGGCATCACTAGCCTATATTGGAGATTGCATATACGAGGTTGTTGTTTGTTTGCTTTTACTTGAATTATGTTTATTTATTTATTTATTTATTTATTGGTGTTGTTCTCTGGATTGCTTGGTTTGAATTAATTTGCACATGAACGGAGTTTGTAATATAACTCAAATTACTTGTTCTGACTGTGAATTTTTTAGTTTTGCACTATGTCTATATGAGTTATGGGAGGGTTGTGTGTTAGGTAGCCGACAGCTAACACGTAAAAAGGCCGCTCGGATCTCTTATCAAAATGAATCCTATTTTGAATCGTTTAAATGCTAGGTCGTTTCTCTCAAGTGACGCGTTGCGCCTGCCTCCGGGGGTTTCGAAAAGTGAGCAAGGGGCGCCGCATCGACCCCTGGGTGAGGTAAAAAATGGGCAAAGGTTTCCATGTTTTTCTGGGCGAGCGCGGGTAAAGAAGATAGTCTATGACTATAGGTTTAGGGTAGCCACTTGGAACATAGGAACCTTAACTAGTAAGACGGTGGAATTGATAGATGTTATGATTAGGAAGAAAGGTAGTATAGGTTGCATATAAGAAACTAAGTGGACGGGAGAGAAAGTTAGGGAAATTGAGGATACCGGTTTTAAACTATATTATAGTGGTAAAGATAGACGCAGGAATAGGGTAGGAATCATAATTGCCAAGGGTCTTGTGGAGAGTGTAGTGACGGTCACTAGGAAAGGGGATAGGATTATGCTAGTTAAATTAGTTATTGGAGGGAATATAGTGAATGTTATTAGCGCTTACGCCCCTCAAGCAGGATTAGATGATCAGACTAAGAGGGATTTTTGGGAGCAAATGGATGAGATCTTACAGGAGATACCCGTAGAAGAGAACCTGGTTATAGGTGGAGATTTTAATGGCCATGTGGGCATAGATAAACTAGGCTACGAAAGGGTACATGGTGGATACGGTTTTGGTGACAGAAATGATACTGGAGAGAATATTTTAGATTTTGCGTTGGCTTCTGACCTGGTGGTGGCCAATACTATGTATAAGAAGAGAGAGGAGCATTTGATAACCTTTAAGAGTGGATTAGTTAAGAGCCAAATAAATTACTTTTTAGTGAGAAAAGTGGACCGCCTAAAATGCAATGATTGTAAGGTGATTCCTGGAGAGAGTCTGGTTTCTCAACATAGGATTTTGGTACTAGATTTATGTTTTAGAGGGTAATACCAAGCTAGGAAGGATGGTGGGCGTCGTAGGACGAGATGGTGGGACCTAAAAGGGGATAAACTAGAAATATTTAAGAATCGAATGGATAAAGAAGGTACATGGGACATAGAAGGTGATGCTAATACTATGTGGAACTCGATGGCTAATTGTATGAGGAGAATCTCAAGGGAAGTGCTTGGAGAGTCGAAAGGAATGGGACCCAACTTTAGGGAAATTTGGTGGTGGAGGGAAGAGGTTCAAGCAGCAGTTAAGGCAAAAAAAGAGTGCTTTAAAAAGTGGCAGAATGATAGAACTAAGGAAAACCTTAAGAGTTATAGATTGGCTAATAAGGAGGTTAAGAAAGTAACGAGAGAGACTAAGTTGAAAGCTCATAATGACTTATACACTAGATTAGATAGTAAGAAGGGAGAGAAGAGGGTATACAAACTTGCTAAGATACGGGAGAGGAAGACAAGAGATTTTAATCAAGTAAAGTGCGTCAAGAGTGAGGATTCTAAGGTATTGGTGAAGGATGAAGAGATTAAGGAAAGTTAGAAGAATTATTTTGAGAAACTATTAAATGAGAAACATGGAGGTGCGGCAATAGGGGAAGAAATAGCCAGTAATATGATAAACCAAGACTATAGGTTCTATCGCAGGATTAGGAATTTTGAAGTGGAGATTGCACTTAAGAAGATGAAATCCAATAAGGTTTTAGGATCCGATGATATCCCTATTGAAGTTTAGAAGTGTTTGGGTAAAAAGGGAGTTGTTTGGTTGACTAGGTTGTTGAGCAAAATTTTGTTGACTAGAAACATGCCAGATACGTGGAGGAAGAGTATTTTAGTGCCAATCTATAAGAATAAAGGTAATGTCCAGAATTGCAACAACTATAGAGTAATCAAGCTAATGTGTCATATAATGAAAGTGTGGGAGAGGGTAATGGAACGTTGATTGCGAGAAATAACAGAGGTGTCAGAGAATCAATTTGGGTTTATGCCTGGTAGGTCAACAATAGAAGCGATCTATCTTTTGAGGAGAGTAATAGAAAAGTATAAAGAAAAGAAAACAGACATTTATATAGTGTTTATCGACCTTGAGAAAGCATATGATAGAGTGTCCCGGGATATAATATGGTGGATGTTAGAGAAGAAAGGGGTAACAAAAGGTTACATTGACGTGATTAGGGACATGCATGAAGGGGTGGTGACCACTATTAGATCGCCAGTTGGAGAGACAATGAATTTCCTATCACTGTAGGGTTACACCAAGGATCTACCTTAAGTCCTTATCTTTTTGCTTTAGTTATGGACGAGTTGACGAGAAATATTCAGGATGACGTGCCATGGTGTATGCTTTTTGTAGACGATATTGTGCTAGTGGATGAGACTATAGAAGGAGTTAACACAAAGTTGAAGATTTGGAGAACAGCTCTTGAATCTAAAGGATTCCGAATAAGCAGAACTAAGACAGAGTATATGGAGTGTAAATTTAGTAACAGTAACAAGTGAAGATTGATAATCAAGAACTGCCTAAAAGTGAACATTTTCGTTATTTAGGGTCGATTATCTCAACAACGGGAGAGATTGATGTAGATGTGGCCCATAGGATTAAAGCGGGATGGTGTATGTAGAGAAGTGCGTCTGAGGTATTGTGCGATAAACGAATACTCACTAGACTAAAAGGTAAGTTCTATAGAACGGCTATTAGACTAGTTATGTTGTATGGGACGGAGTGTTGGGCAACCAAGAAACAACATATAGATATGATGAGTGTAGTTGAGATGAGGATGCTAAGGTGAATGTGTGGTAAGACTAGACAAGACAGAATTAGGAATGAGTGTATTCGGGAATGGGTAGGAGTAGCACCGATAGAAGATAAGTTGAGAGAAAATCGATTAAGATGGTTTGGTCTTATTCAACGGAGACCAATACAAGCAGTAGTGAAGAGATGTAATGTTGTAACGGTAGATGGAAGTGTTAGGGGACGGGTAGGCCTAGATTAACATGGGCTAGCGTTATAAATAGAGATATGAAACTACTTAATTTGACTAATGAAATGGCCTTTGATAGGGCCGCGTGGAGAAGAAGGATTCATGTAGCCGACCCCATTTGATGGGACTTACGGCTTTGTTTGGTTTGGTTTGGTTTGGTTTGGTTTGTGCCTAATCATTTTTCTGTGGATAACCAAACCAAAAATATGTACTTTACAAGAAATACTTGTTCATATATATATGTTATTTTCCACCCCAACCAAACAAAAAACTAGGTTTCGCTTTTGTCATTGCATTTTCCTTTCATTTATTTTCCATTCAAGTTCCAAACATAGCCTAGATGTGGTATATAAAATGAAAGGTTCATGATCACTGAGTGTCAAGGTTACAAAATATTTTGAGATCCATAATAGTATAACAAAGTAAGTATCTTTCAAATGTGTTTTCATTGGGGCTGGGAGACACTTTATGTTTTGATACTATGATGCAGTGTGGGAAACAAGAGATTGTTTTCAAGAGATATGAATTCAATGAAAGGATTAAATAAATAAATTCACTAGAGGGTTGCAACTAACCCATTATAGAATGAACTTTAATGAAATTGTGAGTAGGTTAAATGAATCACCAATAGATGAATGGTAAGAAACCTGTCGTGAAGGAAGTTGGATGGATTGGCTGAGTAAAACTAAACTATGATATCAATTAACTTCTCATTCTAACCTTAGTGCCATTGGCTTTGGTTGCATAAGTTGGAATTGGGACACCCTTGTTCAACAGTTTGAGAATTCATATCTGGAATTACAGAATTACAATATCAAACCTGTTTGCTACGAGATATGGAGTCATTGATGTGGAGTGAAAAATCAACTTTGCATGAGTAAAAAAGGTCTACTAATGTCATTCTGGAAAGCAAATCCACTGTCATTGCGTTAGGAAGCTAGTAATCCCTTACGTGGAATTAAAATCATAATGCTCCTAATTTGCCTTTTCGTAGTTATTGACGTATTTACCTTCTTCATTAAGTTCACCCTTCCCGTAATTCTTTATGTTTCTTGATCTATATGCAGCTATATGCTAGGAGACACTTCTTGTTTCCACCACTGAATATTGAAGAATATAATGACCGTGTAATGGCAGTAGTACGTTGTGAGGCACAGGTATGAACTGTTCATATTTCGTCATAATATGTGGATGTTTAGTTGAATTAGCAATAATTTGGCTTTTTTAAGGATGATGTCCATATATTGCTGCAAATTTCAAGAGTATAATAGTTACCTTTCCTTAGCATAGAGTTTTGGAATTTTTCAGTTTTCATGGTAATGAAATTCTTTGGTCTGCAATGGTTTTCCTTAATCATTTTATTTGCTTTTTTTTTTTTTCTCTCTTCCTCCCCTTTCTCTACTTGTGTACATATTTTTTGGATGCCAAGCACGTGATGAATATTTAGAGTTACCCTTTTATTTTCTAGCATCACCTACACATTTTCCATCTTTACAGTATTACTTCTGTGGATGTCGTAGTATGAATGCAATAATCTGGGTTGTATTTGAAGGTCATTGAGTTTGACTGCTGTTTGAGCGAATCACTTTTGTTCTTCTATATCCTTTTGTAATCCCCTCCTTACTTTCCTTCCCCAAGGCCTATCTTGCTCAACTGTTTCTTCTTTTGAATCTTTTGTATTTATGGAAAATTTTTAAATATCTGTGGTTGATCTGTTTCAGGATGCAATGCTTCAGAAACTTCTTAATGAAAATTGCTTGACACAAGAAGAAAGGTTTGTATTATGTCTATTGTTCTCTTTAAATTTCTTTATGAAGGGGATGGTTAATATACAAACGACCCTAATGTTCATAAAGAGCTAATATGTGTTCATACCTAACTAGTAAAGTATTGGAAGGAGTTATGCTACCTTATTTTTCATAGGAGAAATGATGATATAATTAAATATGCCAGAGGACAAGTAATGCCTTTTAGAGCTTTTGAATTTTCAATCTTAGTGCCCCTGACATTTATTTTTCTTTCTTTTTGACTACTGAGTTTCATGGAACTTCAATGAGATTCTCTCTCTCTCTCTCTCTCTCTCTCTCATATGCTCAACTCAATAAAGCCTCGTCCCAGCTACTTGGAGTTGGGCTACATGAATACTATTTCTCCATTCTATGGGATCAGGGGTCATTGCTTCATTTTTTTAATTTTTTTTTTAATACTTTCAGTGACCCACTGGAAGCTACTTGTGGTCAAGGTTGTGCTTCTCACATATGATACCTTTTAGAAACCTCTATAAGTGTTGTGCTTTTATTTGTAGTTATCTGTTCAATGTTAAAAAGGTTATTAATGGAAACTGGAAAGTATACTAGAGTTTTTGCCATTGACGAAGTTGCTATACTAACAGCATTTAATAAATCTCTACCGTAGGGATGTTCTTTGGTGGGGAAAAAATGCTATACTAACTCACATTCTACTGTAGGGATGTTCTTCGGTGGGGAAAAAATATTGGTTCAGCTAAAACACGGACCAAAAAGCGTGCTGGTGTAGCAGTTTACAACAGAGCGTCTTCGCTAGAAACACTGGTCAGCTTCCTTCTACCTAATGCCTTCTGATCCAGTATGTATCATGAGGCCTTGTTTGGCAACTCAATATTTTAGCCTAAAAGTTAAAAAGTCACTGAAAAAATTAAAAAGCCAATAACTTACACCAAAAAGTTAAAGATTCCCTTTTCTCTCTACTTGTTGCACTTCTTTTCATAAAAAATCAAAAAGTCATTCGACATAGAGTTTTTATATTAAAGCATTGATGGAAGAATTCTAGAGTCATGAGATAAGAGATGAATTTGGCTTGGTTTAAGTGACCTAGTTGCATAATTTGATGTAGATTGGTTATCTCTACCTGACAAATGTGAAACGTTTGGAAGAGATCATGCTAAAGTTGGGTTTCTCATGTGATGCTTCACCCAAATTGACCTTGGAGCAAGCCAATGGTAAATTATTCCCTTGTAATATTGTTGTTGTTGATTTTATATTCAGTACTTCACATTTCCTGCACCATGCTTAGAACTTAATGTAGTTACCTTTTTTATTTGTACAGATTTGTGTGGCAAAGTTTTGCTTCTCATGCTTTATATCCATGATTATGTCCACGTGCCAATACCTTATTTTGGTGGTTCTTAGACCCAGTTCCTTTTGTAGTAATGGGAAGCAAAGCTAGGAGAAAAATGTTCATTTAAATTTGATGATATATTTGGTTTCTTGTAAAAATGGGTGGCAAACAATCCTTATTACTGCAATGTCTGCTTTTGGCAGAAGACTAACATCATGTCCCTAGAAGAAAAGAAAAGAAAAGAAAAACAAAAAAAAAAACAAAACAAAACTCATGAGATGAAACAAGTTCCCCCCCCACCTCCCTTTAAAATGCATAGTCCTTCCAGCCATAGTCAAAGTTCTTATGCTTTGTCCATGTTACCTCCCATGCATTCTAGTAGGATGTATCAGGTGCTTCTGTGTGTCATCCAATTAGCTCCAAATCTTATGATACGAGGATACTTTTGAATTATTGAAATCCATGTTTAGAAAGGTTCCCGTTCTCTTTGAAATTGGTTGATAGTGAAAATATTATATTTCATGGATCATGAGGTTGTCGTGGTGAAAAGGGCCACCACTTTCATGTTTTGTTTTTGGTGATCAAACAAAGATATGGGAACCATGCTGTAGGCCAAGTGGTCATGAGGGGCATTTAGGTGCCAGTGAGGTGATGTACGAGATTTGAGTCAATGGTGTGGCGTTGGCCTATTGTAATAGTCTAATCTAATTCTATTAACCTACTAACATCCTACTGTGTGATAGAAAGAAAAAAAAAAAAGACAAGGGTTTTGTGGACATCTAGATTGTTTTATGAAATTAACTCTCATTTGGTAGATTTGTACTGCTTTTGTGTTCAGCTTTTACATTTCTATTTAGAGAGACAATATTCTTTTTATGAATTCATAATCTTCAGTGTTTTTGAAAGTTTTCCAAAGCTATTTTTCACATTACGTTTCTTCAAGGTTGTCGCCTATGTCCTCTTAGATAAATTCTTGATGGCATCACTGCTTTAGTTGGAAGTTTCATTTTCTCTTTTCTATATTGCCAATCCGTTTGATTGGTTAACTATTCTTCTCTTTCCTTTCCCTCCAGGCCTACAATAATGATTCTCGATGAAGACAGGGATTTGAACTCCGGCTTATTTTATGAACTGATGAGCTTGATTTTCAGTGTCAGTTACAGGAAGAAGCCATTGATAAAAACATCAAAGGTCCATTTTGTACAGAAATAATTCTTCGAAAGGGTGTAGTATAATTACTGGAAAATAGTTGTCTTTTGGTAGTTTACATTCTTTAGCATTCTCCCAACCTTCATTTTCCACAAAATTGCATTCACAAAACTTTATGGTAAGACTTGGGTGAAATGGTAGCTACCTTTATGCATCCTCAATTATACTCGACTTGGTTTTGCTTCATCTATTTTTTAAAAAAATACTTAGTTGGGTCTCTCCTAATTCACCGTTGTATGGCTGACTGGCTATTACTAGCTACTCTAGCTTCATGCAAGCGAGTTGCAGCCTGCAATTCAAACTAGAGGGTTTTTAGAGTTAGCTCACCCTCTCAGGATTGTTACCCTTTGTCCCAGTCATTGTACATGTGTCACTAGTCACATTAATTGGTTGATTGACAGTATATTGATCACTACCTACCAAAGCATCATAATGTTAGGTATCTTGCCCTACAGAAAGGGAAAGAAAAGGGGTTCCATTGCTTTTTCCATGTGAAAATTTTGAATTAGATTGTGTAACTTTGAAATCCGATATTGTTTTTCATAGAAGTCCAAGGGGTTTGGTTTACTGTTTCATAGGATTCGATATGCTTTGTTTTGGCACTGTTATGATGAGGAATCTCTTGAAAGCTGTGTCCTTTGGATCTAATTTTGCAGAGTAAACTTTGAATACTATTATCATTTGTAAATCATATGTATGGGTTTAACTCAAAGACACCAAGGAGAATCAAATCCAAAATGGCTAAGTTGATGATTTATCTCCCAATACGTTCCTTCCAACAATTGGGCTACTGTGCGAGTTATTGTGCATTTTTATGTTATCAACTAAATAATGAGAATAAAAACTATGGTTTCTGTGTTTTGTTCTTAATATTTTACCTCAGCTACATAGTTCCTGCTAGTTTTGCAATAAATTGCAAGACAAAAAATTAAGCCATGAAACCTTATTATTTTGTTTTGTGGGATTATGCAAGTGTTTTGATAGTAAGTGGGGAGCAATTGTGGAGAGGTTTCAGGTGGGGGAAATTTTTTTTTTAAAAAATTGAGGGTCATTTGTGGAAAATATAAATTTGGCTAAACCTCAATTTGTAAAAATTGGTCATATATGAACACTATAAAACTTATTAAATGTTATAATAAGAGGAGAAAGAAAATCATAAAGTATAGACATCAAGATAAATTGCCTCTTGGAGCCATGTATAATATTTATGGTGGGGAGGGGCATGGAAAAGAGTATCATGAGACTCCATACCTAACTTACCATTGATTTGGGTATTGAGAAGTTTCAAGAAAATTAAATTTTATTTTGGTTTCTCATCTTATAATTATAATTGTAGACATTAGTATTTTTAATCCGATCATTCGTTGGTTACGTTCACATGAGGCATTTTTTATAGGAAAATAACCATTCAGTGGTAATTTTATATAATTATTACATATTCATAAAAAAAATTATAATTATTAATATTTATAACATTTATTACTTATTTATAATTATTTTTTGAAGCTTACCCTCGGCTGAAATTTTCCCTTTTTATAAAACAAATTGTAATTTCTTTTATTTTATTTTCTACTTATTATATATATATATATATATGTTTTCTCACAGTATTTTATCTCTCTACCAGATATATTTGTAATTTTAAAAAATACAAATTATATAGAAGAAGAGTGATTTTATTTACACACCACACCATCTTCTAAGTGTTAGAATATTTTTAGTAAAAATAATAATATTTAATTACTTAATAGTTTAGCCGTTGCAAAATAAGAGATGTCATATATTATTATAATAATAAATCTATCATATTTAGTTTGTTTTAATTCTAAACCCGTTTTAATAGTTAATTGTATTATTATTCTTTACTATGCTATTATGGGCCAATTTAAGAATATGGTTAAAAGTTAATTTTTAATTTTTAACTTATTTTAACTCACATCACTTTTTTATTTTTTTTATATTCTTTTTTTAAAAAAAAAAACTAAAAAAGAATAAAAAAAAAATTAACTATTAACCAACTTTTCAAAATAACTATATGTTGGTTGACTCAAAACACCTATATATTCCTCTGATTTTCTAAAGAGTATGGAGAAGAAAGAGAGACCAAGAGAAGATTGAAAAGTGGTTTTGTAGAGAGGAAGGATAAAATATAGTCCTGAAATGTAGAAGTTGTTGAGTGTATTATATATATCAAAAATGTTTGAGACCCCTTTTCCCTTTCACTCTCTTTGACTCCCTTTTTTTTCCATTGGTCAGTTTTTCTTTTTTATTTTTTTTCTTTTCTTTCTCCTCCAATCACCACCCGCCACGTGTGTGGGGTGATAAGGATGGTGATTGGAGGGAGTCTCTATCAATGCTCTCTCTCTCTCTCTATATATATAGGAGGGTTTTCAAAACTTTAACATATTTTTATTCTATTAAGACATTTGGATAGTTCAGATCTATTTAAATTACAAAATAATGACTGCGATGTATTTTACGTGTACATTTTCTACTTTTTCGCTTTTCTCTCTTACTTTTTTCTTTTTTTACTCATCTTTCCATGATCCCATGAATAATCCCATGAATGATCCCATGATCCCGCATTCCTTCTTTTCTTTTTATTTTGGGTGAATTACACTAGCAGTCTTTATAGTTTGGGTCTTGTATCACTTTTCTCTCTAGGTCTTGTATCACTTTGCTCTCTGACTTTTCAATTGTGACATATTTAATCTTGAATTTTGAATCTTATTTCAAATAAGAACAATTGAAGATACTATTGCTCAATTTCAAGGGCAAAGTTGTCAGTTTGATAAAATATAAATTAATTTAAAAAAAAATAAATGTCAATTTTTTTTTTTTGAATTTTTAGATATTATTTCTACCCACTAAAGAGAAAACTATGTAAAATTGATAAATCTTTTAGACATTTATTTATTTAAAACCTAACAACTATCCATTACATGATCACCATTCAAACACATAATAAAAATTAATTTGATAAAATAAATAAATAAATGTCTAAAAGATTTATTAATTTTACATAATTTTATCTTTGGTAGATATAAATTATTTTTAAAAATTCAAAAATATTTTTTTGATATTTATTTTTGTCAAATTAGTTTATATCTTATGAAATTGATGATTTTACCCTTGAAATTGAACACAATGGTACTTTCAATTGTCCTTATTTGAAACAAGATTCAAAATTCAGGGTCAAATGTAATCAGGAATAAAAATGACACGAGCCTCAAACTATAGGGACTATTAGTTTAATTCACTCTTTTATTTTTTTTATTTTCCCCCTTTTTTTTTATTATTTTTAAAAATTCAAAAATATTTTTTTGATATTTATTTTTGTCAAATTAGTTTATATCTTATGAAATTGATGACTTTACCCTTGAAATTGAGCAATATTACTTTCAATTGTCCTTATTTGAAACAAGATTCAAAATTCAGGGTCAAATGTAATCAAGAATAAAAATGACACGAGCCTCAAACTATAGGGACTATTAGTTTAATTCACCATTTTATTTTTGTTTATTTTCCCCCTTTTATTTTTTTATTTTCATCCTATTTATTTATTTATTTTGTTTTCTCTTTTTTATTCACTTATTTTTATTACCGTGCCTTTAAGCAGAACACACACTAGTATCTATATATATTGTTTATGTTTTGAGCAATCTTTGTTCGTTGCTCAGTTCAAGCATCCTGATAGTCATAAACACTGAACGAGGAACACTATAAGCAATCTGAGTTTTATCTTAGAATTGTTTTACTCCGATTATACCTTCACGAGTAAAGGAAAACTAATTTTAAGATAATGACAACGTGACTCCCAAAATTTCATAACTATGTTTTGGTACTCTTGGTTTTGGTTATATATTTATTATTGAATGTCATTTTTATTTACAATATTCATGCTTAATATAATGTTAATTGTATTAGTAGACTAAGGCCAAGTTTGGGTACTTCCAAAAAAGCCAAAAAGTCAAAAAGTTACTCAAAAAGTTAAAAAGTTAACACTATTCACCAAAAGTCAACAATTACGGCTGCACAACTCCCAATCCTAATTTTCCCCTACAAACCAATTTTTACAATTTTTTAACGAATCAATTTTTACAATTTTTTATTACACATTTTTCAATAAAAAGTCAAAAAGTTAACCCAAACATCCATATTTTCAACCTCAATTTTTTAGTCCAAAAAGACAAAAAGTACACTTTTTTAGTCTTCCCAAACTTGGCCTAACACTAAATTCTTTATTTTTTGAATAATACTAAAGATCACGAAATATTTCATGAAATTTTTTCATCATTTAGCGTGTAGTGTTTCTTGTATATGTAGTCTAACAGTGAAAAATATTTCATGATCATTTTCATAATATTTTTTTCCTAATCCCTAACATTACTTTTATTTTTTTCTCAAATCACACAATTTATTTTTCCAATAATCCGAAAATGCCCTCTTTTTCTTAAAATGTCTAACCCTAACCCTAATGTAGTCACCGCCGCCGTTGTCAGCCGCATCCCCTTCTACCATACCCAGCCTTGTTTTCCATCTATCATCCAACCATCCTCCTTGCTCCACACTCCAAAACCACTGTCGTCCCTCTCTTAACCCACCCTGCCGTTGCCGCCGACGCCGACGCCAAAGCCATATCTCCTTCGCCAACAACCCAGATAGCAACATCACCCACTTCCCACCGACGCTTCCATCACCGCTCACCACCCACTGCCGCCTCTTTCTCTTCTTCTTTTTCTTTTCTAGATCGCAACCTACCGTCGCCAGATCACAACCCACCGCCACTGCTCTCTGAAAACCCTAGATCGAGAGCCAGAGAGTGGGATGGGAGATGGAAGAGGAACGGAGCTGGAAAATTCGCTAGAGATGATGACAGCAGAGGCTATGGCGGTAGTAGAGCAAGGAAGAAGGAAGAAGAGGTGGGGCGCGACGGGGCTGGGCAAGGTGTCGGCGGTGGTTGGTTGGTGGTAGCCAGAGGGGTGTGATGGTGGATTTGAGTTTAGAATTTTTGTCCAAAATAGTAATTTCATTCAAAGACACAATGCTAATTAAAAAAATTGGACAATAGTATGTATGTACTGAGAATAGCGACGGTGTATAAATATTAAATACAATTACCCATAGAAGAAATAGAAAATATAAGAAATTTATCCCAAAAAAATGTGTAGATATTGTGGTTATGT